AAAAACGAAGCGTTAACACATGTTAGACTGCACCCCATAAACACAATCAAGCCACTGAACCACCCATTTAAATATTAGTTTTTTTATTACTTTAGGTTTTATTAATTTTATTTCAGTTCTAGGAATTCTAGTATTTCAATTTCAACTTATTTGAGTTTTCTAACTTTTCAAATTTTTCTTTGAAGTTTATTTCAGGTTTTTCATCTAATATTTATATTTTATACTGAAAACCGTTTTAATAGACTAACACGAAGAGTTGTATTTTTATTCACTAACATGAATAAAATGATTAATAAATATTGTACTGCTTATTGTTAGTTAATTGTTAATGTTATTAACTAACGTTAACGAATGGGACATTTTTGTAAAGTGTTATATTTTCAGTTTTCATTTTAATTTTAGTTTAAGTTTCAGTAATTTTATTATGTGCTTTTGACATTTTTATTAGTTAAATTTTTTCATTTATTTTTGTTTTAGTTTTTAGACATTTTTGCATTTCAGCTTCAATTTATTTCAGTTAGTTGTCATGGCAACATTTCTAATTAAGTTTTTTCATCTAATATTTATATATTAATGATTAATAAATACTGTAACATGTATTGCTCGTTGTTAATGTTATTTAATGCATTAACTAATTGTTTCTGATATTTACAGATAACTTGAGTTTGAGTTTTGTCAGCATCTCCTGTGTAACTTCAACAGGCTTCCTCCAGGTTTGCTGCCTGTTTTTCTGCGGAAATATATTTGTTTTTAATCTTTTTTTAACGACTTCCTCTTCCTGAGGCTCTTCCTGGAAGCTCAGATTCACAGCTTGATCAGAGAACAGCTTGAAAGCTGTCTGACACGCATCTCAGTCTATTTACTTATTTTTAAAAACAAAATATTTAAATATTGTCTAATTTTAAAATATAGTTTTTTTCTTGTATTTAATTTAACTATTGTTTACGGTGTTTTATAAAATGTATTTAAAAATATTATATATAAATTAAAAATATGTATTTATTTTAAAAACTAAATATATAAATATTGTCTGATTTTAAAATATAGATATTTTTCCCTTGTAATAAATTAATTTAATATAAATAAAAAATATGTATTTATTTTTAAAAACTAAATAAATTAATATTGTCTAATTTTAAAATAATAGATTTTTTCTTGTATTTAATTTAACTATTGTTTGTGGTGTTGTGGAGAAGAATTATTTATTTTTTAAATCAAAATATATAAATATTGCCTAATTTTCAAAAAATATTTTTTAAGTAATTAATTAATTTATTTATTTATGTATATATTTATTCAGTTAGTTATTTAGTAATTTCATTTGCTTGTATTTATTTTAACTAAGTTGTTTACAGCCTATTTACCTTAACAATGTGTTATAAGGATTATTACAAATATTGTCTATACATTAAAATCAAATCAAAATAAATAAACATTGCCTAATTTTCAAAAAATATATTTTCAATATTTTTATTTATTCATCCAGTTAGTTATTTATACATTTATTTTTCTTGTAGTTATTTTAACTATGTTGTTTACAGCATATTTACATTTACAGTGTGTTAAAAAAACACTTTTTGGTCGTTCGAGAAAGCGGATTTTATGGGTCTGCTTCCAAACAGAAGTAAAGTTCGGTTCGAGGCACTCTGTGAAAATAGCTGTCAGCATCTGGTCATACTAATAAACTGATAATGCAGCTGTTCTGCGCCGATGTTTAGCTCTATAATCCTGCTCTAAACAGAAACGAGACGCGCTTCCAAGCTGAAAAAATATAAAGCATTGCAGAAAATCTTCCATCTGATGTAACGCCTGCGCAGAAAGAAAATAATGCATGATATTTCTAGCTCATGCATGCTCTAAATAATAAGTATTTACATAATTTATGTCTGTTTTAGTTACCAAAGAATGCAATCTTTATAGTTTGTGCACTGCTCCGTTCTGACCATCAGAAAGAGATATTGCTCAGCAAGAAGAAAAATTACAGAGAGCATTGAGCGCAGATGTTTAATGTTCGTCTAATGACTGAGAGACTTTCCGCAGATCTGATGATAGTTCGAGCTCTCAGGAAACATCTTATCCAGCTTATCCAGATTGTGTTTCCCTCTAGATCAGGCCTATATTCACTCTTACACGTCTTTTTAAACGAGGCCAAAACAATTCCATAGTTGTAAAGATCATGTATATTTATTTTGGCTTTATTATTGCTGCTCTAGTAGATGAAATAACGCATAGCAGTTTCTTAATGTTTCTGAAACAGAAAGAAGATCGGCTTCCATGTTTTTAGTCTCTCCTGATGTGATTATTAATAGATTGGCTTGTGTTTTCGGGGCAGATGAGAGCGACCGGATGTCTCAAATTATGCTGCAGAGATGTGGGCGGCTTAAGGGGGGAGGGATCGGCATTCTGGGAAAAACTCTTTAACCGTTACGCCGTGAATATTTTCTCAGCAAACATTGCCACTAATTATTTCACACTGCCAAACATGGTGAATAAACTCAGGAGTAAACAAACATGCACGCAGCCTTGTCGGTTTGGTTAATGAAAACAAACTTTCATCACATTTAACTTTCAGCAATCTGTCATAGATTAGAACTGCGTTCGACTACTTTTACTGTAACATTCAGATGCTTTAAAGCTGAAATGTATCACTTCTGAAACACTGAAAAATGGCACTTCGGCTTAAACCCAATGTTAGCTCTTCTATTAGTTCTTAATGTTGATGCCGATAATGTAAAAATGGCCAAATATCATCTGATTAATCATCTTAGTTGATATAGGCCTGGTTTCATAGAGAGGGCTTAGGTTAAGCCAGGATTACGCAAAGTAGTTTGTATAAACGTGCCTTAGAAAAAAACATTACTGGTGTGCATCCTGAGACAAAACAAAGGCACTGACAAATTTTAAGATCAATCAGTACAAGTTTCTTTCAGTTGAAACAACTCAGATTTACATTTTAGTCTGGGATTAGGTTTAAGCCTTGTTTGTGAAACGGGGGGATAATGTCTGTAAATGACTTAACTGAAGCTCTATGTAAAGTTTTGCCAGTTATGGGCTGGGTGCATGTGGCTATTTGGAGTCGTAACCTGCTAAATAGAGCCAGACCAGTTTATCAATGTGCTGTTTAAACCTAGAAAGGACGTCATAAACACATAGACTGGTGAATGGGTGTCAGAGGTGAAGGGTGAGTCCAGCGTGCCACCCGTGAGAGCGTGCATTGTGTGAGCGTGTGTATTTTGGGGTGTTGTAATGAATGGTGAATAGGGTTAAGTGTGTGTGTGTCTGTCCAGCTGTGAAGGAAAGCCCTTTACACAGACCGCTCATTGAAAACCTCTCAGCGGCCCAACAGCTGTGTCACTGAAATCACTCCCTGGACTTCCATGTGTTATCATTTTGTCTTCATTTTTTACTTTTTGTTTATTCCTTATCCTGATCTTTGAATAGCCTATATGTTTTCCTGAACCTATAAAGCTAGCAACATCAATGTAATGGGTTCGATTCCCAGCAAATGCATGAACTGGTAGAAAAATGCATGGATAAAAGTGTCCGCCAAATGCATAAATGTAAACCAAATTATAACTTTCTGCACCATCCTTCAGTTTATCTGTGCGTTTTTTGTCTATGAAATATCTCAGCAAGTAGCTCTAGCCTGTTTTTCTTGGCTGCTTAGGCTAAACAGGAAGTCATCTGCTGGCCCACTTAAAGTACTGTAACACTTCCTGCTCAGGGAAGCATAAAGCGGTCTGTGTTGCGTTTTTCTGTTTTTATCTTGAAGTCAATTTGGCTTCTGTAATGTGACTTATTTTAGAGCAAACCAAGATATAGAAAGAAAAGAAGGGAAGGAATTAAAAAAATTATAATTGAATACAAAGAGTTTACCCTGCACGTAATTTATATTTATGCATTTTGCAGATGCTTTTATCCAAAGCGACTTATATTGCATTCAAGGTACATTATATCAGTTCATGCATTCCCAAATCGAACCCTTAACCTTGGCGTTAGTGTTAGTGGCACTAAACCTTAGTAGCGCCATACCCTACCGTTTGAGCGCGAAAGCCACTTGTTAGAGAACTCTTCGAATGCATTGATTTCAGTAGACATCGAAAGGTCTGCAAAAGGCACATTTTGTCCAAACGTTGAATTTTAACTTCTCTTGAAGCACATTCTGACATAGGCATCGAACGACCAGAGAAAATTTCAGTTGAGTACTAGAAAATCCAATTTTCTGTATTCCCAATTGATTTCAAACTGCTCCGGCTCTTTCTGCACCCTCAAATTAGACTTGCGCATTCCTATCTGTCAAACTTTCCAACAGAGCTTTGTGCAGTGTTTAAGGCATTTGGTTGTGGAGTGTTGTCTTGGCCTTGTAAACTAACAATGGTTTTGAGACACTCATGAGCAGTGCTAACTAAAGAGCGATTGACAGATATGTTTTTATTCAGCACTTCCAGAGTCATGCAAGCCAGAAGAGATAATGCGCAGAGCCGAACTGGAGGGCACACGGGAGTTATTCATGGCTTCTGGAATTGGATAAGATATTTGGCTAACTGTGTGTCACAAGCCACGTTCATAATTTCAAGAGGGGAAAGAACAGACAGAAAGAGAGAGAGGGGGAAAACAGGGGAGGAACTTGGAGAAACTTCCAGATGTGCAAGAGAGGAGGGAGAAGGAGATGGTAAATATCTGCAGCCCTCCTCTCGATGTCTGTTTTTGGTCTTTTTTTAATTCTTTCCAGTCATCCTCTCTCTTCGCTGCTCTCGGTCCATGTATGTCACTGTAAACTCATCTCAGAAATGTTGTTTTAGGGAGGAATCAAACCTTGTAAAGGTTAATCGCCCCCAGTTTCACTTTTACTTGTGGTATTTGATATTTCCATGTTTTGCAAGTCTCCATTGGTCCATTCTTCAAGTTAGTCACTCCAATCCAGACAAATATTTCAGCACCAAATAAGGCCAAAAACTCCTGCTATGGTAACGATTGCTGGTTTCTTTTTTCTGCCTTAGAAGTGACAGGGAAGGTGGACCTTTTCCAAAGTTCTTCATCAACTGCATCCACCACAGGCCATGCTGAGACAGAGAGCTCCACCGTGGAGGAGTGTACCAGACGCTCCCAGATTACCGTCTCCAAAAAACAGAACTGGGCCAAACTTCCCTCTACAAGCAAAGACCCAGCCAGCACAGATCTGTGTACAAGCCTGGTCTATGGGCCACAGGACTGGGATTTGTGCTCAGGAAAGGCTGAGGTTTCAAAACAGGCCTGGAGCCAAAGGACTTTGAGTGAGGATGGTTTGAAGAGGAAGCGGAAAGATCTGGAATTGGAGTTTGGATTTTCCAGGACACCATGTGACTCAGTTGACGCCGGTTTACCGGAGTTGACACCTCCGTCTACAGCCTGTATGGATGCGTGTGACTCTTCCAGCTCAGCGAAGATCTCTGGGCAAGGCGCCTACCTCCAGCACCTGGACAGGAGTAGTCGGGCCTGGGTACTGTCCACTGGAAAGCCCCAGGCATCAGATGAAGTCCTCCCAACCAGAATCACAGAGTTGCGGCAGGGCCCAGACAGAGATGGAAACATTTGGTACAACCCCATTCCTGAAGAGGATGACTCGAAGGCCACTGGAGGAACGGCTCAGGAAAAATATGGAGATCCGTGGAGAAAGAGAAAAACTGAGGAATCGGCAAAGGAGAAAAGAGACCAGAAACAATCAGGGGGTTTGACTCCCACCGGCATCCATCAAATGAGAGAGATTCAAACTGAGGCCGACGTCATCAGGGCGGATAGTTCGGGTATGGTCAGGTTTTTTCCATTATGTACGAGTTTGTCACAAGCTAAGCTGCTTTGCCAGCATACTTGCATTTCACACAGCTGGTCTTAAAACTGAGGTTAAAATGAGCAGTGCTGTTTCGAAACGATATTTAAAGTAAACTAATTTTGAAAAATAGGATGGGAATCAACCACATTACATGTTATTATAAGTTATTTTCCTAAAACCTAGTGAGCTGCCTACTAGACAGCATTTTAGGTGTGCCCGAGAGGTGAAGGCTGTTCCAAAAGGTAGGTGGCATACTTATTATTGTGCTGCCTTCTAAGAAACCTTCTTTTTGGTCCAATTTTATTGCAGCAGTCATGGAGAAGCCAATCCCAGAATGCAAATAGTTCAACATAATTAAAAATTGACTGCTTTAGTCAGTATTTGTGTGTGCATTTTTATGTTAACCAGAGCCACGTCTGTAGCTTAGTGACATGCTAATGTCAAGCTCTGTTGGAAAGCAATGTAGGTTGATTCTCTAGAGCACTTGATATGTGAACTGCTGTTTTACTGGCTGTGTAGAGCAGTTGTTCCGAACCACGTTCCTGCAGCCCCCCAAACACACCTGATTCAGGCCATTAGAAGTTACTCCAAGACCTGAAGTGGGTGTCTCAGACAAAGGAGACTACAAAATCTGCACTGTTGTGACTTCTCCAGGAACATGGTTGGGAACCACCGATGTAGAGAAGGGCTAGACAACTCTGGCTGTCGAAGGCCCACTGTTCTGCAGATTTTAGTTCCAGCCCTGATGGAACTCACCTGTCTGTAGGTTCCTAGTACCCAAAGACCTTGGTTAACTTGAGGTCCAGAGTTGCCCACCTCTGATGTAAAGCAGTGGTTCCCAACCACTTTCCTGGAGCCCTACCAACACTGCACATTTCTGCTTAATCAAACACATCTGATTCAGGTCATCAGCTCATTTGTAGAGACTCCAAGACCTGAAATGGGTGTCTCAGACAAAGGAGACTGCAGAATGTGCAGTGTTGGGGGCTCCAGGAATGTGGTTGGAAACTACTGATGTAGAGAAGGGCTGGGCAACTCTGGCTCTCAAAGGCCCACTGTCCCGTAGAGCAGGGGTGTCCAAGCTTGTTTCTTGAGGGCTAGCGTCCTGCAGAGTTTAGCTCTAACACACTTGTTTGGATGTTTCTACTGAGTATGAAGACCTTGATTAGCTGGTTCAGGTGTGTTTATTTAGGGTTGGGACTAAACTCTGCAGGACAGTGGCCCTCCAGGAGCAAAATTGGACACCCCTGTTGTAGAGTTTAGCTCCAACCCTGATCAAACTCAACTGTCTGTATCTTTCTAGTAATCCTGAAGAACTTGATTAGCTTGTTCAACTCTGCAGGAAAGTGGATCTTGAGGTCCATAGTTGCCCACCCCTGATGTAGAGTGTTCCAAATCAGTTTATGACAGGACTGTCCAATCTAGCTCCTGGAGGGCCACCTTCCAGCCGAGTTTAGCTCCAGCCCTAATTAAACCCACCTGGACTAGCAAATCAAGGTCTTCAGGATCTCTAGAATCTTCCATTTCTGCTCCCAAGGTTCCATTTCTGGTGTTCAGTGTGTTGCCTGTGTAGGTAGTAAACATCAAGGCATCTCACTAGGTTTTGGAACAGACTTGTACCACAAGATACTAGAGAGCAACTTTTACTTGCCTGTCAGGGCTTAGGATCATCTTAAAGGTTGTAATTCCTTGTAAGTTTCTAACATTGTGTGTTTCTTGCGGTTTAGATCTGGTTATGCTACAGTCGGACTGTATTAGCTCTGCTAGTGGTGTGAATTCTGACAGTCCCGGGGCACCAAAGAAAAGCCCAGGAGAGGGTGGAAGTGGCAGCAGTGTGATCGACAGGATCAAGTCTCCAGGAACAGTGCGGCGGCTTTCTATGAAGATGCGTAAACTTCCGGAACTTAGGCGGAAGCTTAGCCTACGCTCGTCCCGTAATCAGCGACACGGACAAGGGAACACCAGCAGTGCACCAGGAGCATCCGATGAGGCTTCACCACAAAGTACATGCAAGGAATCATCCAACGTCATCAGCAAGTACCACCTGGACTCCAGTGCTCCCGCAAGGCCAAGGCGTCGATCCTCTCGAATGCGTTCTTCTAGTAAGGGAGGATATCTTAGCGATGGAGACTCACCTGAACTCTTGCCAAAGCAAAGAGGCTCGGGTCAGGGGTCAAAAGGGTCACCTACACCACCACCACACCGTGGACCACAAGATTCACTAGCTGTTGTAGATGCAGAGTCATTCCGCTTGTACTCGCTGGCGGATCAGCCTCGCTGTGCTCAGAGGCTTTCGGGGCTGCTCACAGTGCATCTGCTGGGAGTCGACGAGCTGCTACGATCCCCTCGGACCGACACTACTAAAGAAGTCTTCTGTGCCATTCAAGTGGATGGGGTGACCCGGGCTCGAACGTCCCTGCTCACCTGTCGAGGGGCGTGTCTCCCACTTAACCACACCTTTAACCTGGAGCTCGAGAGGGCGCGGCTGCTCAAGCTGATAATTTTGACGCCAACGGCTTCCAGCGCAAACACCGGCTCTGCCGCGCCTGCTGCTCCCGCACGTAACCGGGTGTGCTGTCTGGGTGCTGTGGCTATACCGCCTCTCTTCAAGGGTAAGAGAACAACACATTTACAAATCAAGTCACAAGGTGAAACCGATAGTTCCCACTCTAAATTCTGACTGGATGAGCCATTTTTTAAGCTATTTTAAGATTGCAAGAAGTACATCAGTTGAATTCTATAGTAACTCTACTTCATGTTTAGCCTAACAAACCAGCCCTTAAATTTGGCATGTAATCATCCATGCATATATATATAAATATATATATTTTTTTTTTAAATAAAAAATGTTTTAACCAAGATGTCACAATCTTTTCTTTGGTGACGTATCCCAGATTTCTCCATTCTTTTAGTCCACATAAACCCCGCCCCATTCAGCTCTGCTTCCATCCAGTCAACAGCTGGTGGATTGAACCAAGTCCCTCCCTACATTTTTTGTCTTTTTTTTATAATCTGTTTCATTTGGATGTACATCACAATAGGGAAGAAATGATCTGTCGCTACTTCCGGAACAAGTATTTCCTTATCTTGACTTGTTTGAAACATGCCGCTCTCTTTTTTTCCATGTTACGCCATGCTACTTCATTGCTTTCACTATAAATAATGTAAAGCATTCCTGCATATCTATCATTGGGCCATTCCATGTCAACTCAACCAGAGGTCCTTGGCTAAAAAAAATTACATTTTGATAACTTTTTTCTGGTGAAATAAATATATAAATGCAGTAGCTCGATATTTACTGAGAAATGCACTTAAAATGAAGATACCAAAGTGAAATTGGGCTTAAAAATGAAGATACCAATAGAACACTTTGGATATTAAAATATCTTTAATACTTCTCGAGTTATAGCCATGTAAACTTTAAAAAAAAAAGTGCTTATTTCCCATTTTTGAACTATCACCATTTGCATATAATGCATTAAAGATTGCTAAAGTCAACAGATTTTACTAATAGAGCTACCAATCTCTGTGTGAAAATAACTAGGGGTGTAACGATCCATCGATCATACATCAATCAAATGTCTAACGATACGATGTATCGATGCCACGGGTAAAATATTGATACATGTAGTATATATATGCACCTTATTTTGGCACTGTCCACTTTCACTCAATGTCAGTCTATGCATTGAGTGATGCGAGACGTTTTCTGCACACAGTGCCACGCGCAAATACTGAATTGAGCTCTCTTCCGCTTTTTTGTGCTTGGATGAACAAATACAGTATAGCACAGATGCTATATTGCATCTGTGCTTTCGATCTTAAAGTGAAAGCAGACGAACAATAAACCTGCAGCTGTCGAAGAAAACAAAATCTCTCATTGCTCTTGACTGAATAACTTTTGTAACTTTAATAAGGATTAATCTATATTTAATTTATACAATGAAGACTCTGCAGGGTTATCTTACATATAATTATTACATTTCTGTAACTTAAAATTTATATTAGAACTACCTGTAAAACCTGAAAAGCACATTTAATTTGTGTCTTTGTTCTATTGTATTTATTTTCTGCTATTGCTTGTAATGTTTATCAAAATATTCTTATCACTGAGCCCATAGTAGCAGCCAAAAAAGTGTCTTATTTTATTTTTGTAATGTTTTTATATTTATTTTTCTACATTAATGTATTGTTTCATTGCACATTTTATAGCACAGAAGCCTGAAATACTTTATTGACTGTTGTCATATATATATATATCACAGATGCTATATTGCATCTGTGCTTTTGATCTTAAAGTGAAAGCAGACGAACAATAAACCTGCAGCTGTCGAAGAAAACAAAATCTCTCACTGCTCTTGACTGAATAACTTTTGTAACTTTAATAAGGATTAATCTATATTTAATTTATACAATGAAGACTCTGCAGGGTTATCTTACATATAATTATTACATTTCTGTAACTTAAAATTTATATTAGAACTACCTGTAAAACCTGAAAAGCACATTTAATTTGTGTCTTTGTTCTATTGTATTTATTTTCTGCTATTGCTTGTAATGTTTATCAAAATATTCTTATCACTGAGCCCATAGTAGCAGCCAAAAAAGTGTCTTATTTTATTTTTGTAATGTTTTTATATTTATTTTTCTACATTAATGTATTGTTTCATTGCACATTTTATAGCACAGAAGCCTGAAATACTTTATTGACTGTTGTCATATATATATATATTTATTGGTTGCATTTGGGAGTTAACATTTATACAATGAAGACTCTGCAGGGTTATTTTACATATAATTATTACATTTCTGTAACTTAAAATTTATATTAGACCTACCTGAAAAACCTGAAAAGCACATTTAATTTGTGTCTTTGTTCTATTGTATTTATTTTCTGCTATTGCTTGTAATGTTTATCAAAATATTCTTATCACTGAGCCCATAGTAGCAGCCAAAAAAGTGTCTTATTTTATTTTTGTAATGTTTTTATATTTATTTTTCTACATTAATGTATTGTTTCATTGCACATTTTATAGCACAGAAGCCTGAAATACTTTATTGACTGTTGTCATATATATATATATTTATTGGTTGCATTTGGGAGTTAATAAAAATGTAGATGGTTGTTTAAAATAGGTACATAATATCATAATATCGATAAATCGATCGATATGCTCCTGAATCGTATCGAAATTGTATCGTAGATTTTTCTGAGGTATCTGCAAATATCGTATCGCTGGGTATGAGAATCGATATCGTATCGTATCGTGACGAACCCTCTGATTTACACCCCTACAAATAACATATTTCGGCTTTCATCACTATTTATAAACAAAACACTAAATATAAACAAAATCAAAAAATTCAGCCAGTGAAGTTTCTGAAATTTGGTTGATTTTGACAAGGAATGACCCCATTATCTGTAGCACTGACACATTTGTACCATTGCACAACCATTAATCAGCCTTCCCACCCAGCCATACCCTGCATCGGCTTGCGATTTGCCCTTATCTCTTTATCTTTTCTGTCTCTCGCTCCCGCAGCTTCTCGCAGTCAGCAGCTGTGTGTCCGTCTGGATCCTCGCGGTTTGCTGTATGTGAAGTTGACCCTTCTGGAGCAGTTCGTGACCCCGTTCCCCCGCCTCAGTGACCTGCCTCCCCCTAAAGTGTTTGGGGTGGAGCTGCGTCACCTGGTGGAGAAAGAGGTGTCTGCGCGCAGAGTGCCTCTGATCATTCAGAAGTGTATTTCTGAGATCGAGAGGAGAGGACTCCGGGTGAGACGAGCTCAGATATCTGTCAGTGTGTTAAACGTGACTGTACTAATAGACTGCATGTGTTTCTGTAGGTGGTGGGATTGTATCGTCTTTGTGGCTCCGCAGCGGTGAAGAAGGAATTGCGGGATGCGTTTGAGAGGGACAGTGCAGCGATTACCTTAAACGACGAGCTCTATCCCGACGTCAACGTCATTACCGGTCAGTCGGCCACAAATAACCATGATATTTACCATGGAAGCTTATTTCCATCATGGAATAATACAATGGTAATTGTGAAATTTTTATCTCACAGTTCTGACTTTTTCCCCTCAATTATTTATTATTTTAGCATTTAGTATTTTTTCTAAAGTCACCTGGGAAAAATTACAGAGGGCAAGGTTTGTTCTCTATTCCTCATTTTGTTGGAGTCGAGGTTTGATATACTACCTGATACTAGAGACTCATATTTTAATATCTCCCCAGAGCACCAGCGGGTTAAAAGGCTTCCCAAAAATACACCACATGATCAGCAGAAAAAGAAAAAAAACCTAAAGAGATTTGAGCCTTCCAGATAACTTTTAATGTGGTTTAGATTTGATTTATTGGCCTGAAATGGTTCTTAAAAATGCCATGATAAATTTAGAAGTGTCATACACATCCTTTATATTAATATTAGATTTACGATGGACCTGGAAATGTTTTTTTTCTTTCGTGCAAATGCTTTGCATCAATCTAGTAGGATATTAAGAAAGTGATAACTCAAAACTAGATTAGCATTTTCCGAAGGAAATTCAGAGCATTGAAAACGCTGTTTTAGGTAAGGATTTATTTCTGTGGAAAATGAACCAGTACAGCAGTATCTTTACAACAAATAAAAAACAGAATTGCGAGAAAAAAAAATCAGAATTCAGTTTTTATCTCACAAATCTAACTTTTTTGGAGTTTATAAAAAGAGCAATTCTCAAAATTGTGAGACAAAAGTTGCAATTGCCTTTTTTATTTTATTATTCTTTGGCAGAAACAAACGTCCATAAAAGTGTGCGTGTGTCTCTGTGTGTGTGTGTGTGTGTCTCTGTGTGTGTGTGTGTCTCTCTGTGTGTCTGTGTGTGTGTGTGTGTGTGAGAGTACGGTACCCAATACTTCACATTTTGGCAAATGCATGCAAGTCTGTGTGATTAGAAACAAATCCTGCCTTATTTACCTTTAAATGCAGCTTGAGTGGCTCCTGTTGATTGATGGGTGTGTGTTTGTGTGTGTGCTGAAGGCGACTCTTTCCTTCCTGCTGGATCATCTGAGTCTGGTGGCGTCTTACAGCGACAGCAACCGCATGACGTGTCAGAATCTGGCCGTGTGTTTCGGGCCGGTTCTCCTGACGCCCACACAGGAGTCGTGGCAGGCCGGGATGACGGCTCCCGGATCAGGGGCCCTGGCGGGGTCCGGGGCCGGTCGAGGAGGCCGTAGTTTTGCACACAGTGAAGAGATCGCCAGCGCCGTGGACTTTAAACGACACATAGAGGCGCTGCACTATCTCCTGCAGCTCTGGCCTGGTGAGTCTGTCCCGGCAGACTGGCATCATTTATTCATTTTAAGCCCATTTGACTTACTTTCTTAAATAATAATAAAAATCTAAAATTTTATTGATTATATATATATATATATATATATATAAATTACGGAATTCATTGTGGAAACAAATAAAAAACAGAATTGCGAGAAAAAAAAATCAGAGTTCAGTTTTTATCTCACAAATCTAACTTTTTTGGAGTTTATAAAAAGAGCAATTCTTAAAATTGTGAGACAAAAGTTGCAATTGCCTTTTTTATTTTATTATTCTTTGGCAGAAACAAACGTCCATAAAAGTCGCAGCGCATTTCAGAAGAGAAAAATGTGACTTACATTCCGGAAAATGTGGTAGATTTACTAATTGATTTTTTTTTTTTGTCATGCAATAAATGTGTTTTCATGGTTGGGTATTTTTGCCCAATCCCAGCGTTTCTGGTGTGTTTTGAGACCATTTTTGAGACCATTTGATAGCAGCTACTGTAACATAATATCAACAAGCACAAAAACTATGATTTTTCTTCGTTGTTCTTCTGAAGAGGAGACACATATTGATTATTATAGCTGTATAATGCATTATAACGCAGTATAAACACTAGTTGTTAATGAGGTGGCCGATGCTGAAGGATTCGTCTGCGTCACGTTTGTATGAAGTGTCTCTTATTTAAAGCTCTGTGTACGACTCTTATTCCAGAGGGCTGGTGTTTGGGCCAAGATTTCATCACTCTTTCCAGCAGCGTTTCTCCGCCAGACTCTCTCTGCTGTGACGACTGCATGAAGCGCTTTTCTGACCAGCCTTAGTTTTTCTGTGCCTAACGTTTAACGGTGAACGTATTTATTACATTCCTTTGAGGTCACGTCATAGGAACGTTCTGGGTTTGGTACAACTTGACAGCATTTGTGACATAACGTTGATTTGAGTTTGAGAACGAGAAGCCAAAGACAATATTTGACCATGATTGAAATGATCATTTTTAACTTGTGCTGAACCCAGAACATTCATATAAAGCTGAATTTATGTTTGAGGTGCAAGTAGACAATCAGTAAAACGAAAGCTTGGCCAGAGACATTTAATATAGTGTTCGTTTTGACTGAATTTGCAGTTTATTATGCTAAAACGTTTATAGATTCAGGTTTGTTTTTTTCAGATTCATACATAAACACTAAGATGACGATGCATCAGGACATGCACACGCACTAGGAAGTGTGCACTCATGTTTAACCTCGTGTCTTTTATAACCTGTATTGTCAAGCCAAAGACTGTTGTGATGATTATTGCACTTCTATGTCTAGTTTTCTAGATTGTGCTTGTGCTGCTTTTGCTGATTTGAGATCAGTCTGTTACTGAGAGCAGCTTTATGTTTCATAACTGAGCACGGTACAAATAATCTCAACTGTGATTTGATTCTAAAAGCCACAAATGGAATATAAAGGCCATGACTGAGCTCACCAGCTCCTTATGCAAACCCTTTGACACGTTTTATTGGAATTCAGATTTGTTTAGTTGTATAAACAGTATTATTATATTCTATTATTGCACCTGTAACATTAAGCACTTGTCTGTGCTCATGCATAGCTAAACCGCAGCGATACACACACATGTGTGTGTGTGTGTGTGTGTGTGGATGAGATGTACTATTCAGTGTTATGTTAAAGTAATAAAGCACAGTGTTATGTTTCTACAATGTGTGTTTTCTCTGTATTCACCGTCCTAAATGTCATTTAAAGGAAAAGCTAAAGGAATAGTTCAGCCAGAAATGAGAATGTTTAGAGAAGATTAGGATGAGTTTGTTTCTTCATCAGGTTTGTAGGAATGTAGCATTGCATCAGTGTCTCAGCAATGGATGCTCTGCAGTGAATGGGTGCCGTCAGAATGAGAGTCCAAACAAAGTGTGCGTGTGTGAGAGTGTGTGTGTGTGTGTGCACGTGTGAGTGTGTGGGTGTGTGTGAGTGTGTGTGTGTGAGAGTGTGTGGGAGTGTGTGTGTGTGTGAGAGTGTGAGTGTGTGTGTGTGCACGTGTGAGTGTGTGGGTGTGTGTGAGTGTGAGTGTGCGTGTGGGAGAGTGTGTGGGAGTGTGAGTATATGTGTGTTTGTGCGTGTGTGTGCACACATGTAAGTGTGCGGGTGTGAGAGTGTGCGGGTGTGAGAGTGTGCGGGTGTGAGAGTGTGCGGGTGTGAGAGTGTGCGGGTGTGAGAGTGTGCGGGTGTGAGAGTGTGCGGGTGTGAGAGTGTGCGGGTGTGAGAGTGTGCGGGTGTGAGAGTGTGCGGGTGTGAGAGTGTGCGGGTGTGAGAGTGTGCGGGTGTGAGAGTGTGCGGGTGTGAGAGTGTGCGGGTGTGAGAGTGTGCGGGTGTGAGAGTGTGTGAGAGTGCGTGTGTGAGAGTGTGAGTGTAAGTGTGCGTGTGTGAGAGTGTGTGGGAGTGTGAGTATGTGTGTGTGTGTTTGTGCGTGTGTGTGTGCACACATGTAAGTGTGCGGGTGTGAGAGTGTGTGAGTGTGAGTGTGTGTGTGTGCACGTGTGAGTGTGCGGGTGTGAGTGTGTGAGTGTGAGTGTGTGTGTGCGGGTGTGAGAGTGTGTGAGAGTGCGTGTGTGTGCGTGCGAGTGAGTGTGTGTGTGTGTGTGTGTGTGTGAATGTGTGTGTACCATCTCTCTGAGTGTCCTCTCTCTGCGGATCTCTCGGTCCTGCTGCAGTAGACTCAGTCTGTCTCTCACAGGCCACACAGTGAAGATCTGATGGACGTCATGCAGCGCTGATCGCAGCTGTGACACACACCAGACACATGAATGTCACACGTACACACAGTCATGCTGTAGGGTACACAGGTGTGTGTGTGTGTTACCTGAGCTGTGACGCGCTGATATAAGGACAGATCCTGATGGGAGACGGAGACTCTCTTCAGCTGGGAATCCGTCTGGAAGGAGCGGATGAGATCCCTGGAATCCTGAAGAACATTCACACGGCTCATGTTTGGGAAGTACATTCATGTCTCAGTGTGTGTGTGTGTGTGTGTGTTTACCTGTATGGTTTTGCGCAGGTGTGTGATTTTGTCCGTCTGTAGGAGTCTGCGTGTCAGAAAACCTCGAGCCACGGCAGTAAGACGACAGAGATGCTTCATCTGCTCCACACACACCTCCTGTACAGTGACACACGTCATATTCAAACCTATATATAGCAGTGTTATTTTAGTAGCATTGATGCACTATTACAGTTTTCGAATTGGATTGATTTTTTTCATTTCAATTTTAAACTTTTAGTAATTTTGTTGTGTTTTTGTCATTGAATTTTTCTGTATACTGTAGTTTTTATTTCGTTTTTAGTTATTTTAACAGATGGAAATGTTGCCTTGGAAACTATCTGTCAAGTAATGTAAATGTTTATAATTAATAATATTTAAAGACCCTACTGAACATCAAAAATTTGTTTGAAAGTCAAGCCACAATGCATTGTTTTTATGCTTCCAAAATTGGTTTTGATGACTAAATAAACACAATTAGTCTAAATTAGTCTACTTGCATGACTTAATTTTCCTCAAACTGACCATCAGAAGTTAATCTAGGAGAGCAGTTCTTAACCAAAGGGAATAATCACATTTATTACAATTATCTAACAGAATTAAAATGATGCAATCATATTTCCCCACAACAACTGTTGTTTTTATTAAGGAACTACAGTTCTTGAAACTTCTGGAATCACTAAATAATTGTGGTTGATTTATTTAATATATCTCAGTTTGTTTTCACGAGAGTTTAAAAGCAGCGAAATAATCGCTGCAAAAATATCATGCAAAACACAATTGCAGAAAGTTAATTGTGCAGCATGAAGCCCTGGCCGGAGCGACACACTCACATCAGCTGTCTGTGTTTCTGCTGCATTATATCTCACTCATGTGTCACTTTACATAATGCATAATGCCTTATATTGTCTGGTGTGTGTGTGTGTGTGGAGCGATACCTGCTGGAGGTGTTGTGTTTGTCTCTCCTGCGAGATCTGCGGAGCGTGTTCTCTCTCTAAACGCTCACGCAACATTTCCAGAGCCTGAATCTGCTGCTCCACTGCGAACACACACAGACACACAGAAGCTGCATGTGCAGGAGAAGACCTTTAAATCAGCATGCAAATAACGCAAGTTTTCCTTGAGGAAATGTAAGTGGTGTGAAACTCACCAGCACAATGATAGAATGATGTGAGAGGCTGCAGTGCATTAATAAGCAGTTACTACGGTGTTGGCTTTAAGGGTAGCTAGGGTGGTCGTTTAGCAGCCAGAGTTCACCTTTAATTTTATTTTAACCAGGCCAGTGTTATTTTAGTATCACCTGAGATACTATTCGAAAATATGAAAAGATATAAAAATATAATATAATATTTTTCAGTTAGTTTTTCTTTTTATGTTATTTTATTAGTTTTTTTATATAAAAAATCTATATTAAAAAATAATATATGTAATATAAATTATATAATATATATATATATTTTCAATTTGTTTTTCGGTTTACATTATTTTATTAGTTTAATTTTATTACTTTTTCTTTTTATCTAAAAATATATGCTAACAAATATATATATATATATTTTTTGATTGAATTTCTATTTTTTCTATTTTGCATTTTATTTAAATTTTGAAGTTTTAATAATTTTGTTGTGTTTTTGTCATTTTTTAAAATGTTTTTTAATATCTATATATATATATTTTTTTTTTTTCTTTTTTTTTTGCATTTCATTTAAATTTTTTATTTTTTATAATTTTGTTGTGTTTTTTTCATTTTTTTTTTTTATTTGTCATTTTTTTTTAATATGTCTATTTGTCTAAACATGTCTATTCTTCTTTAAATATTTCTATAGTTTTTTTTAATTTCAGTTTTAGTTTTAGCTATTTTAATACGTAATGTTAAACTAAATGAAAATGAGAAATGCCTTGGCAACTATGTACCTGAAATGAAATGTTTAGTTTTTTTTTTACTTCAAATAACAATATCTCTAGTCTCTTTCAAACAGTCTCTATCTCTCAACATTCTATAAACATCTGTCGTAACCATCTGATGTGATTTTGGTCAGCTTTCAGACATGTAAACCATCAGTTTCAGGCCTGATCTCTTACTAACCTCCAGTGAGCTGTTTGAGGTTCATCTGTTCATCCAGGAGCTGCTGTGAGTGTCTTTCTGTCTCTAATCGGCTTGGGTTCGGCCCGACTGAATCCACCTGTGGTCTGTTCAGAGATGGCGAGGGGTTTTCCACATCATAGGATCGGTTGAGGGGCGCCGGGGGTGAGCGACGGGGTTTCTCATGGCTCACATCTTGCGTTTCATCGAACCCGGTCATTCCTGTCCAGCTGCTGGGTGTGGAGGTAATGACTGACAGCTGTCTATCACTGACCTCTGAACCGCTGCAGTTCCGTTCCGCAGCAGAAGAGGGCGGTGAAGATGCCGTGAAAGCTGAAGCTTGCTCATTGTTTTTAGATCCAGTGGTGCTGAGCTCAGACTCGCTGACGGGGCTGGAGATGAAGATGTTTCTGGGCTGAGGGCTGGGTAACTGTGCGTAGGAGCCCATCAGGCTGGAATCAGGGGATTCTGGGTCCGAGCCGTCTCTGGACTCGTCAGACGCCAGCTTCTCCATGCGCTGGTTGAGCAGGCGGAGGGTCTCTCTCTTCAGAGAGCTGCTGGGACTGAGCGTCTGCTTCTGAGCCGGAGCCGTACACGGCCTCACGCTGGTTCTGATGGAGCGCATCGGGCTCGTTTTGTACCCGAGAGTCAGAGAGGAGTCTGATGTGGGTGTCACTGCGCAGTCCGGCTCCTTCTGCACCTTCTTCAGCTGCGGGAACAGAAAATAGACATAGGTGTAAACTAGATATCCAGCAGCAGATATTGCACTTTATTCAGTGTGTGTCTCTGTCTTTCTGATAACAATTTAAAAAAAATAATTATTAAATACATACTTAACACTTGAATGGTTTGCTGAATTGTGTTAACAAGAGTGTTAAGGCCCTGGTTTTCAGTATTTGTGAGTGTCAGTAAGCGTTTTGATGGTTGTTTGAGTGTAATGGGGCGTTTAGTAGGTGTTGAACAGTGTAATCTGTACAGCTTGCAGTAAAGCAGTGTGAAACTGGCCTGGATGTTGTTGAGGACGTTGTGCACTTTCTCCAGAAGAGCGTCTGTCTGTCTCCTTCTGTCTCTCTCCACCGCTGTCTGTCTGTCTTCAGCCATCTGAACACGCAGCGCTTCACTCACCTACACACACACACACACACAGACATACACATACAGACAGAAACACACACACACACGGAGAATCAGTCACTTAGAACCAGTGAACCACACTTCACACACACACACACACACACACACACACACACACAGACATACACATACAGACAGAAACACACACACACGGAGAATCAGTCACTTAGAACCAGTGAACCACACTTCACACACACACACACACACACACACACACTCACTCACTCACTCACTCACACGCACACACTCACACACACACACACACACTCACACACACACACACACTCACTCACTCACTCACTCACACGCACACACTCACACACACACACACACACTCACACACACACACACACTCACTCACTCACTCACTCACACGCACACACTCACACACACACACACACACTCACACACACACACACACTCACTCACTCACTCACTCACACGCACACACTCACACACACACACACACACTCACACACACACACACACTCACTCACTCACTCACTCACACGCACACACTCACACACACACACACACACTCACACACACACACACACTCACTCACTCACTCACTCACACGCACACACTCACACACACACACACACACTCACACACACACACACACTCACTCACTCACTCACTCACACGCACACACTCACACACACACACACACACTCACACACACACACACACTCACTCACTCACTCACTCACACGCACACACTCACACACACACACACACACTCACACACACACACACACTCACTCACTCACTCACTCACACGCACACACTCACACACACACACACACACTCACACACACACACACACTCACTCACTCACTCACTCACACGCACACACTCACACACACACACACACACTCACACACACACACACACTCACTCACTCACTCACACGCACACACTCACACACACATACACACAGACACACACACTCACACACACACACTCACACACTCACTCACTCACTCACACTCACTCACTCACTCACACACACACA